GCGATTTTACACTACTTGCATTTTGCGCGCATTGTCGCCTCCCGCGTGCCCCCCCCCCCATTAAACCAACCTTTCGCATTCATAAGGTTGGCCATTGAAGGCAATGACCGTTCTTATTGATGTGAGCACTTCTTCTGCGATTCCACCGGCAACAGCATATTTTTTCGCTTCTTCCGTGGCGGCTGACGCCATTAGCTGTTATACAATACCATTCAACTCTACACTGAAAGGACGAATGTTGAAAACCTTGGAGATGAAAGCTCCAGAAACGATCGTGAATGGCGAAAGCGACATCATGATAAGTGTCAACTTCCAGTCATAGGTAAACGCAACAATAAATCCGCCAAAGAACTGTGCAACAAACTGAATCAGCAGTCCAAGTTTGTCTCCTGTCCCTTCTTTTACTCTCTCGAGGTTACTAAATCAGACAGTGATACACAGTAAGACTGTAATATATCCACGAAAAAAGCGTACTCGAAGAATTTTGGCGTCAAATTTCCCGAATTGTTTTTGTCATACCAAACGATATCCTGTCGCAAAATCGCCTTGAAGAATTCTCTTCGCAATTGATTTACTAGATTTTCGCATACGATAGCGAAACAAGTTGCCTGAAAGCGCTTTCCCATGAGAAAGCCTTCCCAATCAGTGCCATGTTGAAAAAATAATAACTCGTATGATTTTTTCGAATGTATAAGTCGCAGTTGTGCAAGTCTCTTCTCGATTGAAATGGACTGAAAACTCTGCGCGCCACTGTTATTGGGCGCTCTATGCTTTATCCGACCATCCCCCATCGCTAGACGCGTTGCCAAGTTGAGATGTGTATAGCCTGCTCAGAGACCGGCATATGCCCTTTAACTCCCTCCCCGTTTTTATTTGATTCATTCGTATCTCATATTGATCCGCTTGACAGCTCGGCTAGTGAGCCCCCCGCGCAGGCTACTTGTCAGCGGTTGAGCTATGGAGTTGAGGTTACTTGGTTCATGTCGTGCAATGGCGCGAAGGAAGTTGGTTGTTCGACATAGACAGCGTTACTGGAGCGGCAGAGATCGTACTGTTGATTCGCTACTCTAACGGTAAATCTTCGTGGTCAAGTCGCGCATGTGAGCAAGTTGTTGATGATTGGCAGTTTGGCAACGGAAAGCATGTCTCGTTTTCAGTTAGTAGTTCAGTCCTTTCTGATGATAAGAGGATAAAGGAATCGGCGTCTTCAGTACCCTTCAGGTATCCGCGCATTTTACCTCGTAATCGGAGAGGCACTCAAATGCGTGCGAGACTTTTACAGTGATTTGTGGAAGCCAGCCGATTATCAAGTCAATGCTCTTATCCTCCCAGTCAGTACTGTTTTTAAGTTAAGGTAGATTGTTGCGTAGCGTGTCGTTGTAGTATGGTCGTGCTGGAGTAGCTTGATGGCGCTGGGTTCCGAGTCGGATGGTGCAGGGTGCAGGCGGTCGAGCAGGGTCAGGGTGTGTTCAGCCCACCGAATTGGACTTCTCAGGTGGAAAGTGATTGAGAAGTCATAACTAAGTGGTAGTGGTAATTTTCTTACTAACTTGTTGTGGTTTTTTGTCGCACCTTAAGTGTACAAGATAAAAATAAAGTGATTACTCAGGCGGCATGCAATTCCTTCTTGGTCAAGGTCGAACCAAAACGCTTGCTTAATTTTTAAGTGGACCAAGCACCCTCGATTATTGCACATCAGTCCGCTTCAAGGAAATGCGGTCTGGTCAAGAGTTTGAATCGCATTTTTTGCCGCTGCTGCTCGGACTATCAGTCAAAGCATTTTGAACACTGTTCACATAAGAAGATCAGGTATTGACCATCTGTGTTTTGCGCCGAATGCAACCTGGTGCGTGAAAATATAAACGAAAAAACAGTGAGTATACTTGATGTAAGAGGAGTACACGGTACACGCGGGCTGGACTTCGTTTTTTGGAGCAAAAAGCAAAGGGGATATCGTTTTTGCAGG